CCCCAAAACCCCAAAACCCCAAAACCCCATAAGTGTAATTGTCTATCAAAATCAGAAAATTAAAAATTAGAATAAATTTAGATTAATCATTATGCAGCGATTGAGTCAAGAAAATTTGAAAAACTTAAACTAGGAGAACTACAAGGCGCCGTATCACGAATAAGACAGTTTCAAAAACAAGAAGGGACTTGGCTAAGACAACTCTAATAAAAAACATCTGCAAAATTACCTTAATCAGAATCTATCACAATCTGATATAAATGGAGAAGGAGTGGGCAACAACTCATCTATGATGAGGAGTGGCGTGCCAGTTGGTGCAGGAATGGTATCAAGTGCTCTGAATTAAGCGAATAATGTCAATGCTAGCAGATTGAACAAATCAAGTGCAGATCAAACCCCATTTCAAGGATTTAATGACAACTCATTCATCTCATAAAGTAAAAATGATCCAAGGAAAAATGATAGAAATTATGCCTGTTTAATTATAAGGAAAATGGAATTTTTCTGCAGTAAGGTCAATTTAGAAAAGCACTCTAATTACCTTTTTAGAGTTTTTGATAGGCAAGAGTAAAGTTTCATTGAGGCATAAAGAAATGCGCAGATACGCATTAAGCTTCCAGATAACACTAAGCCTGACATCCTGATCATGTTTATCGATTATATAGACAAGGGAAAAGAATTTCCCAATAAAATAGATCTTTATATAGCCCAAAATGTGGTTACTATAGCCGAGGCACTAAAGATGCGTTAAATCCAAAAGAAATTTTTAATGGAGATTATCATGCCTATGCTGAACAGGGAAAACGTGATATTCTTTATCAAGATGTCTTATCATAAGCTGAGTGATGGAAGGGACCAATAAGAGGATGATGCAGCTAAAGAGGTCGATGCTGATTTAGAGTCAGTAACGACACATAAAGAGGAGGAGGATTTCTGGCTTGAATTTCTTAGTTACACGCTTGACTTGGCAGCGGCTAATATATAGTACTTAATTAAGAAAAAATCTACAGAACTGCATGGAGTGCTTGAACCTAACATAATAGATGAGATAATCGAAAGAGCCATAAAGTTTTACAGAGCTGATTTGCAATATGACAGCACCCTACTTTTTGAAACCTTAATGAAGGTCAGAAACTGTGATTCGATATTTTAACTGCTAGATTAGGAAAAGTCAAAGATTATTGAAAATGAGGAGTAAATATTGAAGTCAGGGGTGAGACCAATACTTACTTGGAAAGTTCAAAACTTGAGTGGCAATTTCTATAGAGAAAGTGATGGTTTTTGGGTGGAAAATGCTTAATGGAAACTGGCTATCAGTTATTTCTCTAATGATGAGGATGCTTTAAGCGTGTCATTGAAAATGATCAGCAATCCCTTTGACGTTAAAAACTCCAAGGACTACTTCAAGAAAAAGGAATTTTTCTTGCCATCAAATGTTGGAGTATACAACCAAAACCCAATAGATGAGTATGAGGAATATGATATCAAAGACAAGGATGAAATTATGCAAAGAAGAAAGTAAATAGAAAAAGCTAATTCCGAGTATCCTTCTCATTCCTACATTACTATGGTAAGTGCAGTCAGGATTCATTCAAATGATGAGTTGAAGGAGCCACTTATACAATCACTAATTTGTTCTGCTAAATCACCTGCTTTGCTCAAGAAATTTGATGGGTTTTATCCAGAAGATTACGACGGAGAAGTTACAATTGAAATTTACTTTAAGCTAAAATACATCTACTCTGCTATTTTGTTATACATAACTAGAAACTTCACATATTAAATTACAGACCCAATTATATATCTACTCCCAAAGGATCAATATAAGCTGATTCTAAAGCATAAACTTCTAAATGTTACCTAAGAAGATGAAGTAATTAAATCTCTTTGTTTATGGATGGAGGGTTAAGAGTCACGTGAGTCTTTGGAGATTGAACTTAAAGAGTTACTTGAAAACGTTTAATGGAACTATGTCTCTATTCCTTGTTTTCTTGATCTCATCAGAAACTTTTCTCTTTTGAGGAGACATGAATCCTTCAAAAAGATAGTTCATAAGGAATTTAATATAAGATTGAAATTTAACCCAGAGACCACGAACTTAGACCCACCTAGAAACTGCTACAAATATAATAAAACGTAGACAAATCCAGAGTCTATTACTAAAAATCTTAAAAATGCTAAGGCGTTGCTATTTATTAATCATGAGGATTTCTTCACCAAGTTTTTAGATTAATTGCTTGAACCTGTTGATGTGATTAGGACCCACTTAGTAAATGAAGGTGTCTCAGAAAGCAGTCATCGCAAATTTTTGGAATTGCAGCTGCAGTAAAAATAGAAGGAGCTGATAGATATACAGATGTAACTTAATAATATGAAACTATTAGATGATTTAGACAATAGTAGATCTAACTCAAGACTATAAAGAAGGAATTCTTCGAGGCAACAGTACAATTAAAGTAGGCAAAATGGTAGATCATCTATTGATGAGCAGGAAACAGTAAAAAATTCTATGATAAATTTGCTTCATGTGATTGATGGCAGTGCTTAACCTGCCTAGTAGACCAACGGCAATCATCTCAGAAATATCAGTAATGAGATTGTTTAATAGATGCAATTTAATGCTAATGAGCAAGTAGAATCCCCATTTGAAGTATATGAAAATCAAGTATAGCCAGGCAAGCAGAATTAGGTGCAGATACTGTTCCAAAGTTTGACTGAAGATTTGAGAGATCAAGATGAAAATGAATAAACAGTAAAATTTAACAATGGCATTGATCCTGGTAATACGAATTACTAGAGACAGGGAGATGATGATCAAGAAGACATGGATGAGGAAGAAAAAGAAGAGTTTAATGTTCATAATTAAATACTAAATGACAGATCTAACAGTCCAGAGTTAAATTTTAATCCTTCTCTAGTTAATCAGTAGTTGAAGCAGTAGTTATAACTCCAATAGCAATAGTAATAGCATTTTCATCTAAGAAACAATGATGATCTAGCATCATTTAACTGCAATTCATTCGTAGTTGGAGGGGCTGCTCTCAATCGATAGGAAGAAGTTTAGGTGCATGAGAACAAAGAGATATAGACATCCTTGAATTTCATAATCACATCACATTTGAAGTCTAGGGTATCCAATACCTAGCTTTCGCACAACAGTTCTCGATAGTTCATGGACTAAGGGATCTAAATGAGCAATGCCAGTGTCGGTATTGATTTTAAAGACATACTCTAGGATGAAAGTATTAGGAAAAGCGATGTAATAGTTCATTCTAATATAAAGGAATATGTTAATCAAAGCATCTAATTCGAGTTAATACAGCAGGATTAAGATGAAGATGAGGAGATTAAGTTGGATGTGGTAAATATTGGCTTGAAAACAGAAAACTGCTCAAACAGTAGGTCGAGTGAACTGGATAAAGAGTTATCGAACAATAGCAATAATCAACAGTAGAGTTCAGAAACCCATGAACTAAAAGTCAAGAGAACCATAAAATTTGATGAAAATATTGCCTCGCTTCCAAGTGAAACAATAAAGACAAAGTAGCACTAGCCCAACTAAAGACCAAAGCAAGCCAACTAGGAATAGAACAGAAATATCTTGAATAATGATTAACAATACTAGAAAAGTATTCAAGAGTACATGCAATTCGTGTAGCAGCTATCAAAGGATGAATTTGATAAGAATTTCTTAGAATAGATACTGGGACCTTCAGACTTCAGCACTCATAATGTCTTTACCTTTTAGAATCAAGACCTTCAGACTGTTCAAAACAAGAGAACAAACAACCTTTAAGTATCACAAAGCCATTAGAAGTAACTAGATGAAAGAATAGCCAAGCACATACTGTAATCTGATAAGAGTTCAGCATTCAATGGCAACAACAACCCTATTAGTACTTAGGCATACACTCCTATGTCAAATAATAACTAGTCTATGATGGCTAGCTTTTTCAACAATTAAAATAATACTAATCTAAACACTCTTGTAAACTACTCATCCTCTATTGGATCTAACTTCAATCTATCAGGCAAGAACTTTAAGACTCCATCTTCGGCAAAAGGTGGAATGACTCTAACTTAAATGAATCACACAAACATGGAGGCAGCTAGAGGGGCAGCTAACCATTAATAGTACCTTAATTTACAGCCCAGGGCAAAGTCTTAGAATAATAACTACAGAGGCTAGAAAATACATTAAAAACGTGCAACAAATGCTCAGAAACTTAACGTTCAGTCCAATAAAAATGTTAATTTAAACAGAACTGAAAATCAGATAAGATAGACTCATAAAAGTATGAACAGCAGCATTACAAGGAATAAGTCATCAATATCTAATTCACATTCAAATACTGGGCTTCAGTCAGCCAAGAATTCCTAACTTGCTAAATTTACATCAAATTCCAATAATCAATTCTCACTTCGCAATAGAAATCTAGAGAATAGCAATAGTAGCGCTCTCAAGACCAATATTAAATAGATTAATAAGCAAGGCATGGTGGTTTCAAATTAAACTTAGTAAATAAAGGGTGGAAACACTATCAATGGAGGTAATAATAATCAGAAAGTAGTTTCACTTTAGAAACTGTTAGAAAACACAGCAAATCTATCATAAATGGATAATGACCTTTGCTTGATGCCCTAGAATCTTCTGGCTTGGACAGGCAACTCTGACAACTAAAATTTTCAAAGCTAACTTCAGCCTTAGAATCTGTTTGCATCAACCTTAATTCCAGATAACATAAACCTGCCATTTGACATTACAGCTTAGATTGCTAACTTTAACATTCTAGATCATATTTAAGTTAAGCCTTCCGGCAATAATGCTAGCGGTTATAATAAGTAGATTATCAAAGGTAAGAATATTCCTTCATTATCCTCAAATGCAAATAATTCACGCCTACTCAGTAATGGCTAAAGCCCATCGAGTAATTACCATAGCAAAAATGGAAATCCAGTATATGATTTTCAGAGGGCAAATGCTACTATTAAAAATCCTTAAATTCGTCTAGGTACGATTGAGGAGTCCAAAATGTCAGAACTGCTTCACAATGCAAACAATGAAGATAGGAGCACTGCCCATTTCAATCAGCTGAATGGCACTTAAAATCTGATAAGAAACATTGGCAACAACACTATAAGCCTCAACTTGATGGGCCACTAGTAAATTAGCAGTGCGACAAATTCTTCCCATTAAGTAATAAATCTAGATCATTAAAATGAAAGAGGTGGTTCTGTCTCTTGAATACCAAGCATACTATTTTGATTTCATGTGGAATTTTAATGAAATTAGAGATTAGCTTTTAAAAAACTTACTAAATTTTATAATCATTAAATTATTAACAACAACTAGAGTTATATATACTAATGATGGGGTTTTGGGGTTTTGGGGTTTT